TATCGTATTAATTTATTTACATTTTTCAATCAAAGTTAATTGTTTATATATTTTTAAAATTTTCTTTATTCATTTTTATTATCTTTTAAGTTATCAAAAAATAACGGTATTATTAAGCAAAATGATCAATTATTAGAAGTCTATAGATGAAATATAATAAATAATCAATAAAATAATATTTTTAAAATAATTATAAATATTAAAATTATATAGTTCTTTTATATTAAATCACTAGGCGGTTTTGTGCGCTTTGCGCGATTATGTAATGTATTTATTTTTTATATGTAAAATATGCGTATGAAATAAATTGCTAAAAAATTAAAGTGCATACAATCCATGCAACGCATAAACATAATGATTCAAATATATTGTTTGAAATTAAAATTTTTTATTCTAACTAATGAGTAGACTATTCATTTAATAAACTTGAAAGAGAAAATAATGCTAATATAATATTTATATGTGGCGATTGAAATAAAGAAAATATATTACTGTGTAAACACGAAATACTAATGGAAAAATTAGTAAGAACTTACATATTCTCGGAGTAATAACTTGAAGCATAATGCATACGTAAATATATGCAGGCTATTGCATAAATAGAAGGGAAAGTGGTTTTGATTTTTCTATTTTAAGACCAATATGGTTATTTTAAATAAAAAAATAAACCGAGATTCATATCCTCCTCTCCCTATATTAAAAAAAAAAAAAACTTTTTAAATGACATAATAAGTATAAAATGTGTAATGAGTGTTTATACTTACATTGGTCAATGTTTGAGAACAACCATATAGGCGACAATCAAATAGCTGAAAAAAATATCAAAAAACTCATTTGAAATATCTAAATTTCTGACTTGGAAGCTCCAATGAACTGACTAACAATACTTAGCACTTTCTCGATCAAACTATATATGTTATTGAAAGATTATCCTATTAAATTGAAAACATACATCATGAAATTCTTGAAATGATATAATACTTAATAAACTCATAAAGAATTAACAAGAAAAAAAAATATTAAAATTCATTGTATTTAACTCTCATAAAAACCATAAATTAGAGAGAGAATTTATAATAAAAAAACATATTTTTTTTCTTCAAAAACTACAATTTTTTTCTCAAATTAGTTAAATAAAAATACTCAAATACTAAGACGTCTCTCTCTTCAAAGGAAGTGACATGTCAACACTCAACAAAAATCATCGATTCTCCTTTATATATATACAATGATAATAATTTAGTATATGAATGAATCTATACATCGGGAGTAAGGTAAGTCATCTACATTCAGAGAATGACTTGAAATATAAACCTATGTTGGTTAAATGCACAAAACTAACTCCATTAATAAAAGTAATATATAATTTTGTTGGTCAATTCTAAAACATGCTAAAGACATTGGAGAGTTGAAATTTAAAGTGGCAACAACTATAAGGAAGTAGCAAGTAGAATATTCAATGTTCAGTTAACAATAAGCATCAAATATTCAATATGGTTGATATGAGCAGGCATTGAATTTTGAAGAAGCTTCTACTAAGAATTTTCTTTGCCTTGAGAATTAAACTAGTATTTAGTTGAACAAATTAATGTTGCATCTTAATATTTTATATTTTAGCTTCTGGTTTGATAAATGCTTGCACAATTATACTCTTATGTGTAGCTAATTTCATTTTTCTTGCTACCTTTATCATATATGTAGTATGATTTTTCTTTTTTTTTTTTTTTATAAAGTATACTTCCTCTATTCTCAAATATTTGTCACATTTTGATTTTCAAGTCTCATAAGACAATAATTCAATTTGTCTAAGTTACAATAAATTATTTAATGAATTGACTGTATTACTCTTAATCTATCTAAGTTACACTACATTATTGAGGAAGTGAAGTAATCATTATTGATCATGCACAAAGGTTAAAATTGAAAAAAAATAATTTATTATTTATAAAATCCACAAATGTGATAAGTATTTGAAAGTATAATACTTTTTCAAATATAACAAGTATTTGAAAATGGAGGGAGCATTTGACTAATTAACAAGATTATCAGTAGATAATAATTTATAGATATATATATATAGCAAGAATCAATTTCTTTTATTGAGAACAACTTTTATCGGTTTTAAATTTTATTTTATTTTGAATTATTATTATTTTGTTTCAGCATTGGTCCCAAAATAATATGTCCTTTTCTATTCATGGAAATCACTTGCCTGCCCTTATGGTGTATAGGATGACCAGTACACCAAACCAATAATTAACTATTATTATTATTTTGCCTTCCTTTTTCTTTTTTTACCAAATCGGCGCATGAACATAAATTGAGCTCTATAAACGCATATTTTTAAATTGTATTATTCAATCCATTTTTATAAACTAAAATACCTCATAACTAATAGCAGCCAATTTCAGAATTTAAACTCGTTTGTGGAGCTTATCTTTCTAAATTTCTTCTTCTATTTATGCTATTTCGAGAGAGAGAGAGTAATTGCTTTCTCCTTTTGCATTTAGAGAGAAGTTACAAAATAAGACTTAAGTTTAATAAAAAGTTGCAGGGTTCAACATGGGTATATAAAAACTCAAGAGTTTAATGGAAAAAACTCATAAAATTCAAGGACTTAAATACGAAAAAATTTTAATCAGTTGAACTTTGAATTTCAAAATTTGCCATCATGGTATTGAATACTGATGATGATCTACTTCTTGATTCATAAAATTGGGTCACAATCACATAATTTTAGCACTATATATTCTCTTTTTTTTTTTTTTCATTATATGATCAGAAATACTTTCGTTTCAATAAAAAAATTCATTTTTATTAATTTGATCTATGGATGGAGCGACTAATCCGGTTTAGATAAATTTATCTCATTTACTAATTGATAGCTAGAATAAAATTAAGAACTAATCACTAGAAAACCTTTAGACAATTAAGGTAAAAATCAGAAGAAAATTGAAAAAGGTTGTTACTATAAAGGCAGATTTTACACCTTCTCTACAAATATAAGGAGAAAACACTAAAAGAAGAAAATAAGCAAAATATGAGCAATGGTGTACCTATAATAACCGAACCCCTCTTCTCCACTCGCGGATCTAGAAAAAAAAAATAAAATTTATGGGGTCAATATATAATAAACTATAATAAAAAAATTTATTCAAAAATTGCAAAAGAGATCAATTGACCTCTTTTCTGCAACATAGATTAACCATTACTGTCCTCTCTGTTTTTACAGGCCAACGGAAATGAGAAGATAAAAAACAAAGTACATAACGTAATTGACTAAAACAAAGAATGAGAATTAGAAACGTTGCAAATTTCATTACGTAAGTATTCTTTTTGTTTTTTAAACTTAATTACCTGACTTTGGCTTCGCTTATTCTTTTATTTTGTTTAATCTAAAGCCATCAGAATTCAGAACCAACCACCTGCACCGACAGATGGTGGAGGGGTCAAGGTCAAGGGGGCCCACGCTAGTGGTAAAAGGCACGCAAAGTGTTTTTACTCCAGTGAAAAACTGTTGACTTTAATATGAATTGGGCAGTGGTTGAGTGTTTTCAGGCGCATGATTTTTACCTTTTTGTAGTTTTTAACTCTTTATTAATTTAGTTTTCTTTTTCCGCTTTTTTTTTTTTTATAGTTTCTCTTGAAATTTTTTTGTCCGTTTCTATAATTTCTTTTTTCTCTTTATTTCTATTTTTTTTTTATTTTAATAGTTTTTCTGTTTTCTTCTTTAATATAATAAACTTAAAATCCTATCCTAAATTTAAAATCTAATTGATTTAATAATATATATAATATATACGATATATATTATTTGTGAGATTAAAATTATTTTTTTCAAATTTTCATGAAGAATTTTTTTTAATTACAAAATAAATTACTCATTTTTTCGTTAATTTGATCACATTATTTCATGTTATTTTTCATATTATTTTAATTTGCTTTTTAATATTTTCTTTGATATTATTTTTTATTACTTACTTTCTTTTCTGTTGTTAATTAAATATTATGTATACATTTTTATGAAATATTAACTAAAAATAGTAACAATTAATAATTGTAAAGACATTTAACATGCCAAAAAAGGGATAAAATAAAATATTTTAGAAAAAAATAAACAAAAACGATAGAAGGAAATAGAGTGATATGCAAGAGGAGATAGATTAGAGTAAATTGAGTGAGAGAAAATAAATTAATATCTTTTTATTACCCTATAATTAATTGATAACAAGCTAATATGAAAAATAATAAATACATTTGTTTTTGTTAACAAGTTATTATTTCAACCATCTGCATATATTATTATCATAATAACTTAAATTGTTTTGTATAAATAAATTAATGCATATACTCAATATTTAAATAACTTTAGCTGGTTTTGTTAAAAAAATAAGATTCAACCGGTGGTGAAAGTTGCCGGGACTTGGTGGCCAATAGTTACCGTGGTTGGTAATGAATAGTGACTAGTGACCGTAACTATAGATTATTAATAAATTAAAATATGAATTTATGAGATTATAATAAGTTTCTCAATATCTGAAAAATATTTTTCTCTTTTAAAAATGGAAAATCATTTTCCTTAAAAATGACATCGGTTTTCCTTTGACTAGAAAAAAATTTTCCGTTGACTTATTTTTCTAAACGCCCCAAATAATAAAAAATTGTGAAAATATTTTTATACAAGTTATTTTACGGAAATAAATGAAATATTATATTAATTAAATTTTTCTTCCTTATAACGTTTCGATGGATATTTTTTAAAAAAAGTCCCATAAATAATTCACTAGACATGCTCTGTGTTAGAACTCATTACATGTTATTTTAGCCCCGAAATAAAATCCTGGGTTCCTGGCTCCGTTACTAAATATCACTTATGACATTAGAATCTCGCATGAAATGACAACCACGTATTGTGGGTCCCAACATTAAATGTAATACTCTCTTATGTCATGTTTGGTTAATACAATTGTTAAAATAGGAATATCGGTCATTCCTATTTAAGCGAACGCAAGGGATGGGTGCGACAGAATAACTGACAGCAAAAAGAGAGAGAAATGGGAAAGAGCAAGGTTCTAATAGTTGGGGCTACCGGGTACATCGGCCAGAGGATTGTGAAAGCAAGCTTAGCCCAAGGACACATAACCTATGTTCTTCAACGCCCTGAGTTAGGGCTTGACATTGAGAAGCTGCAAAAGCTGTTGTCGTTTAAAAGACAAGGAGCTTACATAGTTGAAGGCTCCTTTTCTGATCATCAAAGTCTAGTGCAAGCTGTGAAGAAGGTTGATGTTGTCATTTGCACCGTTTCAGGTGGCAATTCTCAGAACCGTAATCTTTTGTTGCAGCTCAAACTTGTTGAGGCCATAAAAGAAGCAGGAAACATCAAGGTATGTTTGTCGTTTTTGATTTTTTTTTTTTATTCCACCTTCATATTGAGTTGTTTCAATAAGAAAAAAAATTGAATTTAGTTGATATTGTACTTTTATATGTAGAGGATTGAATCCTGAAATCAGAAAACTTTTAATTAATTAATTAATTTTAATTAGTATATTTAAATTAAACTTTTGAACTAAAACTTAATTATGATAAAGGTTGCCTTGAATTTTCTCACTAATTGCGTCTAGATTCTTCTTTTCTAGTAGCATAGCTCAGAAAGTTTGAATTTGTTTTTTGTTTTTCAATATTGGATAGCATTAATAAATGTCATGACCGTTGAATTAAGTAATTGCGTGAAGGGAATAGCAGAATTTTAATTTATTTTGAAATAGTTTAAATTTATTGAGATCCAATTTTTACTTTACTTTTTAATTAAATTTTAAAAAATACTTTTAAAATGTACTTAACAAAAATACAAACACAATTTTAAATTTATTAGACCCATTTTTTTTTTTGAGAATATTAGACAATTTTTACTTTGCTTTTTCTCTTTAAATTAAATTTTAAAATAAAATTTTATAATTTAATTAACAGAATAAAAAAATATATTTAAAATGAAAAATGAGTGTTCATCTTAAAAATACCTACAAAGAAAAATAAATTAAATTCTAATAAAATGTTAAATAAAACATTTACAAAACTCATCGTTTTATGAAGGGAACAATCCTAATGCATGCTTAACAAATAACTTATTATGATTAAAAGTTGAGTCATTGAATTAAATACGATTCTTCTGTTTCAAATTATCAATATTTCTAATGAGGAATTGAGAAGTTCAATCAGTATACTGTATCTATGCTCTATGATTCTATATATAAAAGTGAGATGCCGGAGAACATTACGATTTTCAAAAATGTCTCTATTAAATTTATAGATTGACAATAGTATCATTAAATATTTTAATTTGATTGGTTGAAAAAGTAAAGATAATTTAATTTTGATTGTTAATATTTATTTTCTATTTAAATCTAAATTTTATTCTATAAAACAAGAAATTATATTATACATTATATAAGATATATATTTAATATGGTAATATTATTCGGTTCCAGTTTTCATATAAATTGAACCGGTGATTTTGAAATCAAAAGATCATATAATATAATATTAAATAAGATATATAATGTATATATTAAATAAGGTAATATAATATAATATGGTAATATATACGTATTATCTGGTAATACAATATATGCATATTATATAGTAATATAATATAATATGGTAATAGTATTTGATGGATACTAAATAAGGTATATATTAAATATGGTAAGAATGTAATTATATGCTCGTGAACTTTATCAAAAAGTAAAAAGAAAAAATATTAAAATTTTAAATAATGCTCTAAAATAATGATTAATATATTAATTATTATAATAATAATAATAACTATTTATCTATAATATATAATATCTAAATTTAAAATGTAATAAGACAAGTCAAGCTAATCTTGACTTTGAGAAAATTTGTTATTTTTATTTTATTATTTCATAAAATATTTTTCTATTTTGTAAATGCTTTTAGAGTTTTAATAATATATATTATTTATAACATTATAATTTATAATAAAAAAATTATATATATACATTAATTACATTTATTTGCAATGAGTAAAAATCAATGAGTATAAATAATTTACGATGTAAGTTTAAAAAAATAATAATTTTTACTAGTACGAACAAAAAAACAAACGCAACTCAATTTTTGACTCCTAAGATGAAAAGTGAGAAATAGAGAACTCGGAAGAGAGCTTTACGATTTAGAGAATAAGATTTTTACTCTTTGATATAATCGATTGGGTTTAATTGAGGAATAAAGCTCAATTTTTCCCATGAATTTTAAAGCAGTATTTAATTTAAATTATCTTGTTATACATTTTATCCCTTGAGCTTGTAATAAAAGAACAAAAAAATTATAAATAATTAAAAAATAATAAATATTTTCAACCAAATATCCAATATAATTAAATATTTTTCTAATCCTATAATTTTTTTTTGAATCAAATGTTTTATTTAATTATTTTTAAAATTAAAGACAAAACATTGCAATTTTTTATAATTATTATTATATATTTTTAAATAATTTTTTCTTTGCTAATTTAAAACTTTTTAAATAACTTTTATTATTTAAAGTAAAGGCGGATGTTTTGTACTTTTGATGATAATTAATTGGTTGGGTAAATTGCATATTGCTTCCAAATTCCCAAAGCAAATTGAGTTTTATTTAATCTAATTAATTGTGGATCTTCTTCAATATAGATGGAATACAAATACTATTGTCTTTTACCTTGAAAGGAATATACAAACATATATTAGAATTATTATACAAATGAAACCGTTGATTTCATGTAAGATATTTACATGGACCGACAAGCCAAAAGTAGATATTTACATGTAAGATATAGATAAAGTTTTTTAAATTACATTCCAAGATTGCATATATCACTCGATTGAGGCTATGTTCGATAAGAGTTGGAGTAGTGTTTAGTATTTTGATTAGGTTAAAATATTATTTTAATTAATTATTGTATTTGATAACGTCACATTTATTTTAAACCAGATACATTGAAGAGGTCCAAATATAAATAAATTTCAAATGTTATCATTTTAAATTATGATGAAGGTAAAATCTGAAAGAAAAGAATACATTTTTACTAAATTATACTTTTGCAGCGTTTTTTGCCTTCAGAGTTTGGTACTGATCCATCGCGTATGGGACATGCACTCGAACCTGGAAATGTGACATTTGATCAAAAAATGGAAGTGAGAAGGGCAATAGAAAATGCTAAGATACCCTTCACTTATGTCTCTGCAAATTGTTATGCCGGTTACTTTGTTGGCAACCTCTCACAACTTGGGACACTCTCTCCTCCAAGAAATAAAGTGTTCCTCTATGGGGATGGCAATGTCAAGGGTAAGTTCAAGAATATATTTATTTTTTTGAGTAGAAAAGAAAAATAACTTTAAAAGCAAAAGTTAATAAAATAAAATATTTGTTTATTATTCAACGACTTTTTAATTAGGTTTTAGCGTTTTAATTAGTTAAAAATGTGAAACACTATTTTTTATAGTGTGTCATAATATACCGATTGAATTATCTTTTAGAGGTTAATATATCGTTTTATAAAAGTTTAACTCCTATAATTAATGTTTAGCTTCTAATTTTTTACAAAAAGATACTCAAACAGCTAAAGTTATTCAAACACCTAAATGCTATTAAAAATAGCCAATAATTACCGAAACAATCGATCATATGCTTTATTTATTTTTAATCATTTATTTTCCCTTATAGCTGTTTACATGGAAGAAGATGACATTGCCACATACACAATTAAAACAATAGATGATCCTCGAACTTTGAACAAAACATTGTACCTCCGGCCACCGGAAAACATTCTCTCGCAAAGGCAACTAGTTGAGATGTGGGAAAATCTCAGTGGCAAAAGCCTAGAAAAGATAAGTATTTCTGCAGAAGAATTCTTAGACTCCATGAAAGGTACAACATTAAGATTGGCTAAAGAACAGTTCCGTCCTTGAATATGTATATAATATTTTTACATATATTATTTGGTTTTCAATTGCAGATGCGGATTATGAAGCCAAAGTAGGAATTGGGCACTTCTATCACTTTTTTTACGAGGGTTGTTTGGCAAACTTTGAAATAGGAAAAGATGGAGAAGAAGCTTCAAATCTTTATCCAGAAGTGAAGTATACTCGCATGGATGAGTATTTAAAGATTTATCTTTAATAATGATCAGTCATTTTGGCAAAGGGCAAGTCATATCCTTATTTTTGCATGGACGAGAATTTAAAGGTGTATCTTTAATCATAATAAGTCATTTTGACGAATAATATGTCATGTTCCTATATAGTATTCGTTATCTTCAAAAAAAAAAACAAAAAAAAAGATGTATGGATGGCTTTTGTTTCTCTGATTTATAAGTGTTTAAATGCATAAATTTATTCATATACTTTGACCCAACATATAAATTCACTTCATAACTTAGTTACTTTAATTTTGTGGCATCTTTAAATTTTTATTTTGACCTAACAAATACTTCATTTTATAAAATTATACATATTAAATATTTCAATTTTCAAATTTATTTTGTTTAATATTTCAACTTGCAAAATTAGATTAATTAAATACTCTTAAAAAGTTGAAATTTATAAAAATTATTGCTTCAAAAGTCACGCTAACTACATATCAAGTGGATAATTTGCAGATAAAAGTAAAAACCTTAAAAATTATTCTCCTCCCTACCTTTAGCTTCGCCCACCCCAGAATCAATATCTTCGGTATTCTCATCTTCAGATTGATCAAGTAACACTTGAACATCCTCATCACTAGAAGAACCCATGACCCAAGACCAACAAAAAGAGAAAGAAGAAAACAAATACAGAAATATAAAAACTTATTTGGATAAGTTAGAGCGAGAGAGAGAGATGCTCTAACAATCAAGAAATGAGGAATGAAGCAAATGAAATAAGGAAATGGCCTTATATAGGCGGGACGAGGTATTGACGAGTTACCACATTAAATGAAACAACTCTTAAAGTATCCCTCGATTGACGAACCAACGCTTTGTTATGTCCAAAATGAAGATGTCCTTCTCTAGCACCTTGCAAAAGACACAATATATAAAATAAAACCTTGCTAAAAAAAGATGAATGATGATGCTGATGATAATAAATAATAATCACTACATATGGACATAAAATTATCAAATAACTAATGGAGAGACTACTAATAATATACAATAATAAAATATACAAAATAATAATATAAAAAGATATTAAACTCTTAAATAAACTCTAACTAGCAGATAATATATGATTCTTATAATTCTTATCTTAACACAATTATCTTTATTCCAATATATATATTTCAAATTTACTCCAGAGGGGGGAATTACTCACTATTCAAGTTCTGAGAGTTCAACACATATCAAAGTTAAGTTCAGTGTTTTTTTTATTAGATACAGAGCACCTGTACTAGCAGTATTTATCTTCATACACAGTATTTGGTCTATGAGAAGTGTATTAGTCATTCTAGACTTCATCCAAAGAGTGACTTGCAGTATTTGTACTCTGTTTTTTTATCTCGAACTCAATAGAAATCAGTTTCCTTTCTTCCAACACAAACAGCTTAGTTTATCAAACTTCAAAGTTCTACTAACAAAGACCTTTTCAACTTTAACATCATAAACTTTGGATTTCTAGATTGCAAAGGAAAAAAGGCTTAAAGCAATGGAAGGATTAACATATTTTTAATTTACAGTTTTCAGTCAGTTTATAGGTAAAAAATAGCAATGCTTGAGAAATTGCAGCTGAGAATCAGAAATTCACTTTCTATGAAGTCGTGGGAGATACCGGACTAAAAAATAATCCTTGGAGGGTAATATTGTCTCCACATAAAATGAACGGATAAGGTAATTACTCTTACTGTGAAAGCACTGAAGGGTTAGATAGAAGTAAATCCAAAGGATGTCAAAAAAAGTTTAGTAAACAACAGCGATGAGCCGACTAATTTTGTCGAACTTTAGGGACTAAATAATAACTTTCCCAAAATACTCTCGGAAAAATTCTGGATGATAGGTTTTGGCACGCAAATGAAATCAGCCCAGTAGCCGTCAGATTAAATGATCGATGCAGATTTAACGGTGAATGATGGATACTTACTATTGCGTATGTACGCAGCGAATCATCGCCTTTATTCTTGCTCTCCTCAACTCCGCCTCATATGTTAATGTTAGTCGCTCCATACGGTACATGCGATAGATCCTGAAATTGGAGAGGCAGAGGGAAAGATAGAGAGAGAATGACCCGAGGAAAGCAGAAGATCGAAGCCCAAAGGAAAAATGCAGAGAGGAATCAGAAGGCAAAGGGCTCTCAGCTTGAAGCCAGAGCTGTCGCTCTCAAAGTCAGCTGCCCCATCTGCAAGGTTTTTTTTTTTTTTTTTTTTTTTTTTTTTTTTTTTTTTTTTTTTACTGCTTTGTATGATCTAGCTCTTTCAGATTATTTACTTGTTTTTTGTTTGTGGGGTTTGTTTATTTTGTCGGAATTTTACATAATTCTGGGCTTTTAATTACTCGATCGAAAATTGCATTCCTTTGGCATGACATTGAATTGGGTTTGACTTCATTAATTAAAAAAATTTAACCTATTTATTTGCAATTAAATATCAACAGAAAAAACAGAAAAAATTGAGGGGAGATATGGTGCTTTGGTTATTAGATTATCTGGGTTGTTGAAGTTGTGTTGTTTAGTGCTGTAATAATTCTTCTTGGTGGGTTTTGATTTGTGGAAGGCATTTGTTGGGCAACATTAGACTGAAAAGAGAGAGTCTTTCTTGGCTACATGATTGGACAAGATGCTGTATGTTTATGATGTGTGTTTCTAGTAGATTTTTTTTTAAAGAACAACCAGCGGCTTAGCTATTGAGGACTGAATTTAGATCAGCGAGCTACTGTCTGTTGTTAAAAGCATTTATATGGCTTACTGCTTACCTAGGTGCTAGGATGGTGTGACGTGCGAGTCAGAAGCTTAATGCCTTGCTTGGATGTAGGTGAGATGATGTCAATAAGGCATTGGCTAGGCAAGTGCCTTATTTTAGGGTCCAACTGTTTAAGGTTACTGCTTATTTAACAGCTAGTTTTCTTTTACCAAATTCTGTGATTTATATCTGCGTCATTAAAGATGGCTGAAAAAAAATATTAAAATTAATAATGAAAAAACTCAGCTCACAGCAGACATATTTCGCAAGTTAAATGAGGCGCTAGTTTCAGAAAGTATTTTGCATACCAAAAAATTAATCAAGCCTGTAGTTGTTTTTTCCAGCTTGAAATCAATAGTTTCATTGAAAATATTAGGTTGATACCACTGTATGTGCATTGTAATGAACAAAAGAGTTCCTTAATATGTGAGTATATTAAAGAATGAAAAGAATTAAAAAATGAATTTTTCAAAGGATCAGAGAGGAAGAGAATCAAAGAGCATCTAGTGCCGTCTCTTTGATGGGGAATCTTTTTTTTATTTATTATTATTTGGCTCTCTCCTTTGTGGTTTTGATTATTTGCTTAATTAAATAAACATTGAGAGAGCAAGTAGAAATGTATAATGCCTTTTTTGTGCTACATTTATTTTTGGGTGAAGTGGAGGCACCTGTTGCATATTTTATTCTAAAAAAAGTGGAACGATTCTTTTTTTTTTTTTAATATATTCTTCGTGAGAATAGTGGAGGGATACTAGAATCAACTTTCTAGATTTGTAATTATGAAATGAAGTTTACTGAAACCTGATCTTTTGCATTATTTATTTAATGTTTTATTGCCTTGGTGTACTTTATATGCTTAGGGAAAATATTTATTATTGGAGAGAAACTGCTAAATTCAGTCGGAAACTAAGAAAGAGGTTATAGCTTGAAATGCTTGACTTGCTTGTACACTGCTGTGTCTTAGAGTCCAGGTGAGCAACAACCTGTGTTACTAGAGTTATGATACCCAACCAAATTTAAATGAAGTGCTGGGTAGAGGAAGGGTACTGTAGGTTAGTTTGGAGGCAACAGTTAAAATTTTCTTTAATTAGTAGGCTGAAACAACTGTGTTCCCATTTACAGTCAAATGGTTGCAGCAAGCGGGTTTCACCTCAGTTTATGCTTTTGGCACATTTGGTAAATTTTCAGAAAGAGCATTATGAAACCAAATTTGTGCAGTTGGAATGGTTAACAGACAAGAGGATAGAGTTGATTCTATATTATTAGGACTTGGAAAGGGCAGAATAAGCTGATAGTGTCATAGTTCCTAGAATCCACTGGAAGAAGATGTACAGGCTGTGGTTTACCACTACAATGAACAGTTGATGTTCTTTCATGAGTATCGGCTTGATGTTATTGCACTCAAGGCTGTGTTAACCAAATTTTAGTGAAGTGGAATTGCTTTCTGTACACGGTTGTGCAATATATATCTTTAAACTCTGCCTGTTCTTCAACTGAAAATAACAACGTAACTAAAATAACTAGGGTATAAATTGAATATAATCTCTTGTATGTAAAAATCACATGAGCTATTATTTTAGCAGAGTGAAACTCTTGTGTTTTAAAATGTAATTTAACTAGATTTAAGTAATTATATCTAAAACTATATAGTTAGTAGTCATTTCAAATTTATAACATTTATTCTCATCCTTCACCGAATATCTATTTATCAAATCTACCCTACTAAGGAAAATCAGTTTGTTATGGACACCAGAAGTAAAATCATGTACTTTTTCTTTTCTCCCTTTAAAAATTTCACCTATTCGAACAATGTCCAAATTTTTTTCTGATGATAATCATGCTTGGCTAGAAAATCCAATTTTATAAATGGTAGCATCCTTGACAAAGCAAAGTAGCATAGTACGAGAGATAAAAGCTTGATTTACACCATATGGAAAATGATTTATGCAAAAGTAAATCATTCTACTTCAGAAGTACTCAGTCTAATAGTATTGTTCTTGCTTTATTTTTCATTTTACAACCTGACATGTGTGCATGCACTAAATTGGCTAGCTTGTTGGTGGATTTTTGTCACAAGGACGAGTACTTATGTCAGCTATCATTGTGCTTAAACAATACTTGTGTTGATTTGAAAATTCATTATCATCATGGTCAAGGGAGACCGTTTGAGTCAGATCTGAGAAAAAGTAATTTCATTCTTCAGCCATTCATGAGAATATTGGTTGCATAGTTTGCATTCTTCTCATATTGCTTCATTACAAAATGATTTTTTTTTTCTGTTTTAGTTGTAATTGCTCCTTGTTTTCTGATCTTTTTCCTTTTTTTGTAAAATCATCATACATCGGTGAACAGTTAATTGTTGTAAGAGGGAGGGGAGCTACTCTGCTCCAACAGCAAGGCTAAACTTGCGCAATGGGGGAGATAATCCTCCATTGGTTGAGTCCAAAACCCCTGCCACTCATGCCTGATGGTGTGAGTAGTTTTACCAATAGGACAAATCCCTATAATGATACAAATTTTCCCTTTGTTTTTGAAGTATGCTGAAACTATAAATTTTGACTTTCAGGCACAGCTAGCAAATCATAATCAACTTGGAGACCACTATTCCTCCAAACATCCAAAAGAAAAGCCTCCTGCTGAATCAAGTTGATTTGTTTTTCCCTTGTAAAAAGAGCAAAATTAGAAATGAATAATAATTAAAAGGAGGAGAAGAAGCTTTCTGTGTGTGCTTAGAACGGTTAATGTATTTTAACTAGTGCATGTGACTATTTCATTATCTGAACCAATGTAATCGGTGTATGCCTTTTATGGCTTGGCTTTTTCTAATATAGGCTTTTGCATAGTTTTGCCTGTCCAGGATTCCACTAGAAACTAGCTGATGTGCCATTAGTGGGTTGCACATATTGCCACGTCATTATATCAAAAAAGGCTTAATGATTAAAAGAAATTTAAATTTTGGTTTTTTTTTTTCAATTTTGGTTAATATTTTTAATTTTGTTCGTTAGTGGCCCCCATGTCAAAAAAATTTGGGAATATTTTTCAATAAAATAAGAATGTAAGTAATAAAATTAAATTGGCTCTAATAAAATATAATTTTACTTTTGAAGATGATCCAATTTTTGAATTAAGCTAATAATTTTAAATTTTAAGAATTAAAAATTTAGGGCAAATATGTAGTTGTATTGTACAAAAATAAATATACTTATTTATAAATTTTAAGAATGAAAATTATTAATTTTCAAACAATGAAAATAAGCATATTGTTTGCTTCAAGGGGGAAACGAAACTGCGTACCATTAATAAATAATATATAATGTCCACACACACACACACACACACGCACGGCATGTGTGAGAGCTAACCGTAAACTTCCTTCACACACACACACACACACACACACACACACACACACACAACACACACACACACACACACACACATTGCATGTGTGAGAGCTAACCGTAAACTTCCTTCCTGTCACAGACGTACGCCCTTTATTCATTTATAGCTTCCATCTTATTTCCTTTTGTACTCCTAAACAAAATTGATAAGGAAAAGTAAATTTAATCCATTGATCGGAACAAATAAATTTTATAAAATTCATTTAAAAATTTATATTTTTGCATTTGGAATGAAAAAAAAATATAAATTTCAATTTTGGAAATTCAATTTTATGGAATTAAATACAATTACACTAAATTCCATAAAAATAGTTGGAGATTTTCAAATGGATTCCACAAAATTAAGTCATCCAACTTTTTATGACAAAACTATCATTCTTCTCCTATAAAGCCAAATTTTCAATTCTTTACTTTTTTAGAAAAATATTTTTCTATTATTGTGTTTTTTATTTTAATATTTTTCATCTTTTATTTAATATTTTGAGCTTTTTTTACTATTGAGGGATAAATTCAAATTAAATATGCATTCATCACTAAATTAAATGCAGTAATTTTAATTTAGTTCTTTATATATTTATTTATTTTAATGAAAATATAAAAAAAATTATATAGCATAACATAAATATAATTGGAATTTATTATTATAAAATTATTATTTCAAGGATATTTTAGAAAACAAAAGCAAATAAATTTTCAATTATGAATTTATTCCATAAATGGTTATATGGAATTTAATTGAGTTACATCTTTTGAACTAATCATACAAACACGAATAATTCATTTACAAATGAATTATATATATATTAGAATTTATTTACAAATGAATTTCATATTTTGAATTCATTTATAGCAAATGGAGCATAAGGTATTAAACAGATAAAATTAAATGTATTTGACAAAATTGAAAAAAATTAAAATTAATGCTTTTTTTTTTAGTAATTAGACCTTTTGATACAATGACATGTGTATAATGGAATTTAGATGGAGATTAAAATTGACAAAGGAAAAATTAAATTCAAGATATGGATTAATAAAATTAAAGAAATGGCAAAAAAAAAAAAAAAAAAAAAAAAAACTAAAGTCAGGCTCTTTTTTAGTCATTAAACCTAATTTTAGGCGGAATGCATAAACTGATATTTGAACTTTACAAGATAAATTTCTAATTTTCTTTTTCTACAAAGGATTGGATGATAAAGTATATTTTGATTATCATCAGCATTAGGAAGGTTTGTTGCAGGGTTGGAGTCACTGTTACCCGCCACGTATCTCTTACCCTATCCTTTTTTGCAGGGTTGGAGTCACTATTACCCTCCACGTCTCTTACCCTATTATTCACAATTATACTTGATAATTTAAGCAGCTAACTTGTGCAACCCCTTGGAGCTCATATAAGAGTTGGTCTAACTATTTATCAACAGTATCTTCCTTATAGGCCAAATAAAGTAATTGATTTATATGAGATAGAAATTTAATGTAGTATATTATTAATTGGTTTTTGAGGAAGGGCTAATCTTACTACATTAATTCTCTCTCTTCCAATCTTAGCAAATATGTCCAAAGAAGAAATAACTCTTATCCCATCCCTTTCTCCTTTCTTATCCTTTATCATCCCTCCATACCAGCAATAAAGTAAAAGAACCAACACTAGTGATCATCTTTTGGGAAGTTTCCTGACTTTGCTGTTGGAAATAGGGGAAGCAAAATGAACCCAAAAGGATCTTTAAGAGTGAAAATACTGCAGAAATAATAAGAGAGATTGATTTAATTAGAAAAAGAGCATTTTGCTGTTAGTCAATTAGAAAAAGAGCAATCAAATGAAAGATAAATTAATTAAATGACAAGTATTACCCTTGTCAAAGCAGAATATAAATGAAAGCGCCCTTTCGTGTTCATATACTCTCTAAAACCCAGCAAACCCAGCTTGTAGTTTGCTACCAGCAGCCCCTTAATCCATCTCAAGATCACCTCTTTCTTTCTCTTTAACCTCTCTCGCTTTATCCTCAAGCTTAAAAATTTTCATTAAAGGTTCATGTTTGTCTCCTTTTCTAGGCTAGATCAGCACCGTTGCAACATCTCATATCCTTAAATCTTCTTTTGCATGTGTCTCATATCCTTAAATCTCCTGATCAGTTTTATGAAATTCAGGTTTGTGTATATCACCTAACTCTCTTCGTCAGTCAGATCAGCGTCGCCGGTGCTAACATAGTCAAATTGTGAAACTTTTGATTTATGGTTCTATTTCTCTTGTTTCATAATCATCATATTTTGTTATTTGTGTTTTTTTTTTTAAAAAAAAAAAAAAATTTATAGAAGAATTTGTTTCAAGCTTGTTACTGCATTTTGTTTAAAGTTTTAGGGACTACAAAATTCAAAATTTCTTTTAATTAAAAAAAAAAAAAAAAAAAAAAAAATTGAGCAGTATTGTCCTTCCTGTACATGTCAGTTGGCTTGCTGAGTAATTTCCATTATGAATATATATCACATCTCTCGTTGATCTCAAAATTACGTGAAAATCATTATTTGAATAGCTGCTCCATGTTTGCTAAATATGATGTGTCTCAGGCTGCTATGGCATTGCACCTTGTATCAGGTGGGTTCTTGTGCAAATCTGAAAATCATACTCACTGAGTACACTATATCAGGTGTTGTATCTGTGAGACATATCAATGAGCCAATAAGACTTCCAATAATACTCATGATCAACTTTTTCTGCATCGTCATTTTCCAATGTATAATGCGGACAATAGTGTATATATGAATGGCCAGACAAGCTTTAGACTAAAACAAGAGGCTTTTTGAGGATGATGGATCATCACTCTCGTGAACAAAACGTTCAGGCTAGGCCTAAAACAGACAATATCTTACTTCAAGTTGACAAAAAGAAAATTTACAAAAAACAACTAATTATAATTTAAATAATTTAAATAATAATTATTGACAATATCGTGCAGGCTAGGCTTTTTGACGTTGTCTGTTTATATAAATAATTTATAAAAAAAACTAATTTTAAAATTTAGAAAAAAAAAAAAAGAATATTGCCAAAAAGAACTTCAAGTTGACTTGTGGAAATTTCTATTTATTTCAACTTTATAAATGTATTGTGGAAACTTCTATTTATTTCAACTTTATAAGAACATTTATAGGAGTTTATATAAATATATGTAAATATATAGGTATTACAATCAAATATTAAATATATATTCCTTAGATAAATTTTTTTTTTTTTCATTCTCTTTATCTCTTCTCATTAAAATCTTTAAATTATAATGAAAACAATCATATAATAAATATATATTTTTTTAGATATAAAATTATTTTTTTTACTTGGCCATTTAAAATATATTAAATTACAAATAAATAATATATATTCTTTTAATTTTAAAATTTTAAATGATTTTATTTTTAATTCATTGAAAGCCTTTACTGAAACGCCCTGAATTTTTATTTTCGAAACTTTTGAATTTTTATTAAATCAAAAATCGTAAATTTTGGCCGTGTAGGCTACAATTGTAACACAGTCCCAATTCGAGCCCAAATTTTCGAATTGGGCCTAAGCCCAAAATAGTTCATTACGAAATTTTCGGTTTGAGAACAGTTAAAAATTTTCGAGAAATAACATAAAACACCAGCGATTAATCTATTATAAATATATATAAATTAACTATACCTAATAAAAATAATTAAAATAAATCGAACCGGACCTGGGAATTTAATCGATTTATCGAAAACCACACGAATAATAGTAAAACCGAGTGAAAAACTCGAAAACCAAACAAAAAGAGACCAAATCACTAATCGAATCGAACCGGTTCGAATCGAACCGGAATGGCCCAGCCGACTTTCCTTCCTTCCTTTTCTTTTTCTTTCTTTTCTCTCCTTCCTTTCTCTCCTTCTTCCTCACGCGCGCGACAGCCTCTCCTCTCCCTCTCCTTCGCGTTTTCGGCCACCGTTCAACAAGATGAAGGAGGCGATCGGTTCTTCTGGCGATGCTGGACACGTTTCCAACCTCCCCTCGCTCCGATTGGACCTCCAGCGGCGATTCGGACCTCCAGCGGCGCGAATCGAGACCATCTGCGAATCGAGACCATCTCCTCCGACAGTCACACTCTTCGATCTCCGGCGACTTCTCGCCATTTCCGACGGGCTCAAGGTGAACTGAAGGTCTTGATCGACTCCTCTCCTCCAGACGAACATTTCCCCTCCACCGATTTGCGTTTTCGCCTGAGTTTTGAGGAAACACCATGGTTGGCGGCGAGGAGGGAACTGTCGAGCTCGATCCGGCCAAACGAGCCACTGACTCAACAAAGTGATAGCAGATTTGATTTCCTCACGAAAATTGGAGTCGGGTAGTGGTGACCTTGCAATTTTCTGGGCGGTTTAACTTTTCCGGCCACCGTGCATGGCGGTCGGCGGCACCACCGTGCACGGCGGTCGGCGGCAGCGGTCCGGTGAC